CGTTAAGAAAATAAGTACCGATACATAGCAGAATAATTGTGGCGATGTTCAGCTTAATAAGCCTTGTTCAACATAATTTATTTAGCTAATACTACAGCAGGCGAACCAAGTCTGCGTTTCGCTGCATTCCTTGATCTCCAGTTATAACGACGGACTCCATCGCCCGGACCTAACGGAGCCGCAGTGGGCTAGCTCCGGGACGCCGGGTGGAGCTAGCCCCCTGCGGCTCTTTTAGCTCCGGCGGCCACCACTGGGATAATTGGGTCCCCTATTAACATTTGCTCCCGTTTAGCATTATGGGCAATGATGCCCATAATGCTAAACGGGAGCAAATGTTAATAGGGGACCCAATTATCCCAGTGGTGGCCGCCGGAGCTAAAAGAGCCGCAGGGGGCTAGCTCCACCCGNAAAACTGCGGCATTTGTACAGCTCCTTATGGGTACTGCAATTAGTGAAGTGCTTTCCTCTGTGGTGAAACGATCAGCACTGCACTACGGAGGAAAGCGGCAGAAAGTTGCCTTGAGTTAAAGGGACCGGGGCTGCGTTGCGTGCATGGCTTCCTTCCGCAGGTATATTTGTGCACACTTATTCCACTTATTCCTAGTGTGCCACTGGTTACGGTGCCGCGTGCCAATGGTAGCACGCGTGCCAGGGGTTGCCGACCCCTGGTTTAAAGCAACACCCAGGTTTTCTTTTGTCTGTGCAAATTATGCTACCATCACTTCCTTTCTTAGTGTCTGTATCCCCCACTTTTTCTCCGTCTATTTCTATCCTTTCACATCCAATCTCATGGGTCCATAGACAAATGTTACCTCTACATTCCACTTTTTCCCAATCCTCCGCAGACTGAGTGTTTGCTTTCTGCCTCGGTGTACGGTGTGCTGCTGAGGCTTGGCACAGTGAATGTGAGACTGAGCCCGGAGGCGGGTGTTCCCAAGTCTTCAAAGTGTTTCCATGTAAATTCAGAGGTCCAGCATTATCCACTGAGCCAATTAGAGGGACAGTGGTTAAGGAAGGGCTGCACTGCCAAGGGGGCCAGAGTTAGAAGTGTCCTGTGATCTCTCGTCCCACTGTGTTATGGCCAACGCTCCTCAACCTTGATATTTTCATCTCAAATAATGCTGAGGAGACAGTACTGCTGCACATACTGTAGAGAATCACACTGCTATCCAATATGGGACTTGGATCTACAAAGTAGTGGTTTCATATTTTGGTAACCCAAAAAAACCCTTAGAGGACAAGATAGCATCACAAACTGAATCCTCGAAAGGTTTTGGATATAGAATGAAGAGATCTGGGCGATGTTACAGAAAATATAGCTATAAGTATTCCGAACCACTCCATTGGCAGGACATGCTCAAAACATTTTTTTTCAAAAAGTGGTATTTTTCCTTCATTACTGAAAACTTTTGAGAACTGTTTCCAAGAAGTAACATTCAATCCATCTGCTGACAGATCTTCATCGCTGTTAAACTTCTTAATACTTTTTTTTAAAAAGTGGAAAGTAACACATTTATTGCAGTATTTTCATTCCTGGTCTTATCTAAAACTTAGTGTTGTGGTCTCTCTACTACTTTTCTACAATACAGCAAAATTCATCCAGCACAAAAGGATTTGCAAAACATTTAAGAGTGAATTAAAATCTGCTGGTGCGCAGCAGTATTTTATTTCCTTCCTATCAAGCCCCCTTATCAACTCTGGAGCATAATCACAGCTTTAGTGAGATCAGTGTAGATAATTAGCAATTACCCTATTTACAGGCTTGTGAACATACTCTAATAGGCAGATAGCAAGGAATGTAGTTAGTTATGATGCTTTGGGCCCTTTTTCTCCCCCCAAATTGCTCAAATGAGATCAGCAGGTTCAAAGGGCCAGGATGGTGTGAAATACTGTTTAGACAGGTCCCTTGTGGGAATCCCTGCCCCACTACGATTCAGAATTTCTAAAGTACTGTTTTTATCTTTCAGTTCGCTGCAGAGCCCTTCGATGAAGGGGTTACCCTTTTTTTGTTGAGTACAAAGGGAACACATGGACAGAGAAACAAGCAGATACAACGTATACTAATGTGTGTAACATTCTCAAAGGGGTTTTGGCAGCTTACAACATACAACAAAGAGCAAACAAGTCCCAGTGAAGATTTCATTTTTGGATGTGATTTGAAACTATGCATTATCTTAGGAATGCATAGTTTTTAAAACATGACAAAAACATATTGATTGCAAAATGGATGAATTCCTATTGATTATTATTCATCAGGGAATATAGCCAACTCTCCTTTTTTGAAGGCAAAGATACATTATGGGAAATATGTGTATACTTTTCATGACAGAAATCATGTAGTTTTTCATTTACATTCAAAGACACATCATACAAGAGATTTAGCTACTGTGTTCTAGGAACAACCATTTCATTCCAATTGTATTGTTTTTTTATTTTGCACTTAATTTCAGCAGTGCATTACAAGCTTAATCCTTGATTGTTGTTTACACTATATCCCCCATTAACATTTGTATTAGAAAATAATTGCTGACATAGAAGACAACTCATTATTATACAGAATGAGGCCTTAAACACGCCAATGAAGCATCATTTCTGATGGCTAAATCAATATTATTTGTGACACACAGTGATGAATGAATTCAGCTGGCAATCAATTTTGTAAGTGTTTTCAAATGAATCCCATCAATTCAACTTGCCATGTCCTCAGGCTAACCCAACCAAAATAACTATAGGTTACTTACGTAACCCCAGTTCTCAGAGTAACATGAAGTGAGATGTCTCACTATGGGATGCGCCTCAACGCGTATGCAAACAGAAGCATCAATCTCATTACGCTAATCCTGATTGGCTGGTGATCTTGACGTCTACGTCAGGGAATCCACCCACCCTATAAGTAGCTTGCGCTACGACGCAGCGTCATTCAAAATAAGCACCTCTTCTCGCTTCGCCTTAGCAAGAAGGGCCGTCTGGTGAGACATCTCATCTCATGTTACTCTGAGAACTGGGGTTACGTAAGTAACCTATAGTTCTCATTCATAACACTCCGTTCGATGTCTCACTATGGGATATTGAAACTCCCGTATTGCTAGACATGCTTATCTCGAAAATCACCAAAACAACCAGAACTTAACAGGTAGAACCCTGTCTCAACACGGGGCCCAGCACTGCGCGGGCCACACTTGGAGCAGAGACATCTAGCTCCTGTAAGGCGGACCAAAAGTGCGGTGGGGGAACCAGCCTCGCCGCTGGCCACACAATGTCTTGGATGGAACCACCCTTGAACCAAAGGCCCGGGATGTAAAGCCAGTCCACGAGTAGGGCAATGAGCATGCAGGTCCCGTTGGTTGCCTTGCAAACCCCTGACTCGTATAAAGGCCCAGGCACATCGCTTCCCAATCCAGTGGGAGAGCCGTGGCCTGGTAACGGGCTTGCCTTCTGAGGGTTAGCCAGGATTAAAGAGTTGGTCATTGCACAACAACGAATACTCTTTTGACTACAGGAGCGCCATGCATGTACTGACTCGCTTGGAGATGCCAGAGCAGTAACAGCATGTCTTCAATTGACAGGTGTTTCATGTCAAGCTTCTTCCAGGGGTTCAAATGGAGGTCGAGTGAGCCATCTAAACCCACTGCCAAGTCCCATAACGGGCACAGTGACCTGGAAATCAGCGGAGGAGCCCTGCGAGCCCTTTCTAAAACCGGCAGACCAAAGGATGATTAGAGATAGAAATATATATACATAATACTTGAGACATCGCAGACAAAACTAGGGCAAAGCTCAAAGTCGCAGTTTGTGTAGTGACAGTGTGCGAGACCGCGAACGCACTCTGACAAAGGTACATTCTGTTTATATCAATCTAGTCTCCTGTTAGAAATGATAAATCACCCCGACGGACATTTGCAAAACGCGCTCGCTCGCTCTTCACTTGTGGCTGACCACTGGTGATTTCTCTGCGATAGATGCAAAGATCGGATTAAGGCTTTGAAGGGCACCTAACATCTCAGTAGGTGCCTCATCAACAGATGTCCTGTAGATTACGGAGCATGGTGCGCAGGAAGCATCGTATATGTCGCACCATGACGTCTCTCTTGTTGTTTCTTCCTTCCACTCTCTCTCTCGACGCGAGGCCCATCTCTATTCAGATGTGTTGATCTGTTCATAGGCAAGCAGTAGGGCCATGCGCTTGCATTTACCTATGGGTCTCTGCAAAGATCAGACTTTTAGGCACACTGCTTAGCAGGGCCCTTTAAATCCTGCATCTTTAGCACTCTTTTCCCCGGCAGGAAACTAGTGTTAAATCACCGTGGTCACCATGGTGGGGATTTAGGAATGTACTTTGTGTTTGTGTTCGGTGCGCGAGCTTCCCTGCACTTTAATCCATGATTTGCCTGTTTTTGGTTGCTATTTTTTATATTAATGCACTCATGCTCCTTGGGATGATGGCCGCCCTCCTGGGCGGACACCATGAGAACTGCACTCAAATCACTTTGTGCTTTTTAAACAGTTTAAATAGTTTTTTCACATTTTAAAACGCCTTTCTGCCTGGAAATCATCTTATAATCATTTTACGTTATGGAGCGCGGCTTGCAGGATCACTTTTCCCGCCTTGCAAACTATTATTCCTGGGTAAAATAATTCAATTTGTTTCGCCTTGCTTCCATCAGCACCTCGCGGCTGTCGTTAAACAGATGAAGTGCATTTTTAACACTCATGCTACCACGTTCATATTTCGTTCCGCTAACAAACGTGCACACAGGTCTGGAAGCTCTCACTGGGCGTCCTGCACAGGCTCCAGGCCGGCCGCTTGAACGAAACGGAAGGATTTCCGGGCCATTAGCCATTCAAATCTTTTTAACGACACGGCAGACTTCTCGTGCCGCATCAGCCGGCCCCTGGTCGGATGTAAAAACAGCTTAATGCCGCCTTTTACCACTCACGCAGCCACGCGATTCCTTGCTCCTTTCCTGGGTTACAAAGTGAAGGTGACGCAGCCTGCTCCTCTGGAGTCTCCCCGCCCTCCCAGAGACTTTATTTCTGGGCTCATAGAAAAGGCTGTGGGCTCAGCAGACTCGCTCGCTGATCTTCTCGCGCACTCCCGCCCTAGAGAGACGGGCTCATATTTTGCTCGGCATACTGTTGTATGTTGGATGCGCTGCAAATGTTTCCCTGCCTCGGAGTAAAGTTCTTAGCGTCTGTCAGCTTGGCCCTAGAACCGCACCACTGCCCTCGTATATCTCCGCCGGCCGTTAGTACATTGCAGACCGTGCGGAGCTATTCAGGGATCATGTGTGTCGGCGTTGTTCTCTAGTCACTCTGGCCGAGTTATGGGTATTCAGATTGCCGTCGGGGTGGAAGCGTACCAGAAAGGACCTGGCCGGAGGCAAACGTGCGCGGGAGACTGGCACGTCATTGCCTGCGTAAATAGGGCCTAAATTTAGCGTCTGTGCTCACATGCTTAGAGCGCGCGTAACGCACCACTTCGGTCGTCTCTGCGTCTCTGGTCTGCGCATTCGAAAAGAACAGCTGACATTGAGATTTTTCTTTTGATGCGAACAGATCTGTGGATCGACTGTCAGGNCAACCCCTGGCACGCGTGCTACCATTGGCACGCGGCACCGTAACCAGTGGCACACTAGGAATAAGTGGAATAAGTGTGCACAAATATTTAAATTGTATTTTTCGGATCCTGAACGAAACCGCCGCCAGAGCACGTCTCCCCGTTACCTGCGGAAGGAAGCCATGCACGCAACGCAGCCCCGGTCCCTTTAACTCAAGGCAACTTTCTGCCGCTTTCCTCCGTAGTGCAGTGCTGATCGTTTCACCACAGAGGAAAGCACTTCACTAATTGCAGTACCCATAAGGAGCTGTACAAATGCCGCAGTTTTTGCGTGGCTGTGTCTTTAGTTGAAAGCCCAGTGGTGATCTGCTCATCTCTCATCAAAATAAAATTCTACACAGCGGCGGACTGGCCATGTCTGTTCTGGAGAATCAACAGAACGGACGATCGTCCTTATTATTATGCGGTTTAAACCATTTATTTAAATTTGTTTGTTAAATTCTGTATCATGTAAGTTAAGGATGCTCCGATCGATCGGCCACCGATCGATATCGGCCGATACTAACTCTCTGCCGATCGGTCGGTGCTCTCTAAAAATGCCGATCGCGAGAGTCGATCGCATGACGTAAAATACATGACACTTTTCTCTGTGTGGGGCAAAACAAGCTCTCCAACATGGCTTCACCAGTCTGGCAGTATTTTAAGGTGTCCGAAAATGACAATAAAATGGCGGTATGCAACATGCGTGAAGCAGAAATCCTGCAGCTCCACCCGCTGTGACGGACCGGTGAGCGGATCAACACACAAGAGTTAGACCTACAGTAACACACTTAGCTATTTTATCTACATCTGGAACAAGCTAAATAGTTATAAATATATTTATTCTTCACTGTCGGGGTCACTCATTACTGGATCAGTGAGCTGCATGAGACGATAATGACAGGCTGTCAGGAGAGTGAGAGAGAGGGGGAGAGAGGAAAAGAGAGCGCTTCCGCTAATTTCTCCCGTGTTATTATCCAAAGTTAGTGTAAACTTGAATAATGTCCTTAATTTGAATGTAATAATTATGTTGGTTGTTGTTTGTGGAAGCGCCAGTGAATGAGCCCCATTAACTGAGTTTTAAACATCACTTTAAATGGAAGATCCCCATAGGCCCCGCCCACTCGATCGGATTGGCGATCAGC